AGAGAGAGAGAGAGAGAGAGTCCAAGTCCTTACAAATGATAAAAAAAAAAAAGAAGAAGAAGGCTTTTGGGAATGAGTAAAAGAAATCTCACATGGCTCAAAAAGTAGTTCCTAGAAGCATTAAACTTTCCAGGCCCAAAGGAGATGACTGCTTTTGTATTGGTTTATTGGCATACCTCTGCCATGAGGACTCCCAAACCTTACATAGTTTGGAGAAATACAAATGAGATGAGGTAACTGCTCAGTGGAGTCAACCTGTTGTTAGTCCTACAATGAGAAATACATTGAAAGCTATTTACATCACATTAGCTTTTGCATCATTCATTTTTTAAAAATGCCTACCAATGAAAAAGACCTAAAGTAGACTATGTCAAGCACTGTGTCTAGACAGGAGCTCAAAAATGAGTAAGGCAGGGTCCTAACGGCTAAGAAAGCATGGTCTTGCAAGACAAATGCATGAACACAAACTACAATACAGCAGAGATGCAGAAAAAGGTCAGTCATGAAGTAATGTCCTGCATTCTTCTGAGTCATCAATTTCTTTGACTCTCTTCCCTGTGATTTGCTCAGACATTTGTATCTGTCTCAAACATGGTGGACAATGCAGATAAACAAGGCCTATCTTGATTTTAAGTCAATATGAACCCCAAATGAATTTTATTACTACAGAAAATATAATTCAATGACTTATTTCAGTCATAATTGCACTTCAAGTGACATAAAGGGGCATCTTTTATTCTGGTGGTGAACTGCCTTAGAACTAATTATAATTATATTAATTATATATTATTTATTATTATGTAATTATATATTGTATTAAATGTAATAATTATATATTAATTATAATTATACTAGAAAGGTATATATACATATAAATGAGAATACAGTTAGAGCTTTTTTGTATTTTGTGGGGGTTTTTTGGCAGTCCTAGGGCTTGAACTCAGGGCCTAGACACTATCCCTGAGCTTCTTTTGCTCAAGGGTAACACTCTACCACTGGAGCCACAGCACTACTTCTTTTTTTCTGAGTGGCTTATTAGAGATAAGAGTCTCACAAACTTTCCTGCCTGGTCTTGCTTTGTACTGTTATCCTCAGATCTCAGCCTCCTGAGTAGATAGGATTACAAGTGTGAGCCACCAATGCCAGGCTAGAATAACATTTTTAGCATTAGAAATGCCCACAGAATTAGATGCTGGTGGCTAATACAGGAAATCTTAGCTACTGAGGAGACTGAGATCTGAGGATCATGGTTTGAAGCCAGCCTGGCAAACAAATCTGAGAGACTTTCACTTCCAATTAACCAGCGAAAAGCTGGAGCTGGGGGTACTGGAGAGTGCCAGACATGAGTAAAAAAGCTAAGCAAGGAGCCTGGGAATGTGGCTTAGTGGTAGAGTGCTTGCTAGCATGCACAAAGCCCTGGGTTTGATTCCTCAGTACACATACACAGAAAAAGCCAAAAGTGGCTCTGTGGTTCAAGTGGTAGAGTGCTAGCCTAGAGCAAAAGAAGCTCAGGGACAGTGCCCTGGCCCTGACTTCAAGCCCCAGAATTGCTCCCCCTTCAAAAAAAAAAAGCTAAGCAAGATTACAAAGGCCCGCGTTCAAGCCCCAGTATCCCCCTAGCCCCTTTTTTTAGAGGTCACATGACAAATTTGATGAGAATACAACAGGTCACCTAATTGCTGTCTGGAAGGATTACCTCTCAAATCTAAGTTGTTTTTTTTTTCAATCCTAGGGCTTGAACTCAGGGCCTGGGCACTGTCCCTGAGCTGCTTTTGCTTGAGGCTAGCATTCTAGCACTTGAGCCACAGCATCACTTCTGGCTTTTTCTGTGTATGTGGTACTGAGGAATGGAATCCAGGGCTTCATACATGCTAGGCAAGCACTCTGCCACTGAGCCACATTCCCATCCCCTATAGTTGTATTTTTTTATTGATGAAGATTATAAAAGTGAGATTCATTGGGTGCTATTGGCTCATACCTGTAATCCTAGTTATTCAGGAGGCTGAGGTCTAAGGATCCAGATTCAAAGCCAACCCCAACAAGAAAATCTGTGAGACTCTTATCTATAATTAACCACCAAAAAGCTAAAAGAAGAGCTGTGGCTCAAATGGTAGAACATTAGCCTTAAACACAAAAGCTCAGGGCAGCACTCAAGCCCTAAGTTCAAGCCCCAGGACTGGCAAACAAAAAAAGTGAGACTTGGGCTGGGAAGGTGGCTCAGTGGTAGAGCGCTTGCCTTGCATGCAT